GGCAAATATTTATGTGCAGTGTCTTGCAAATGTATTCTCAGCCATTGATCCTTTAAGTATTTTGTCAAAACACAACCACAAACATTTTGTATTTTGTTTACATTTTATGTGATAGGTCAACAGAAAAGAAAGGGAATTGCCTTTTTCATTTTTGTTTTTACAAATGCAAATCTGTACTTAATTGGACAGAATAGAAGTTACAGCTGCATATCTCTTTGGGTATGTCGGCATCATCTTCTCAAAATAACTCAAGCTCTGTCAGATTTGAAAAGATTTGCCCTACCTTCTCCAATTAGATCCAGTTCTGGACTTTTACTGGCCCTTTCCAAAGACTTTTAAACCGATGAATTTTAAACTTTTAAAAGTCTAAAAGTCTCTGGCAACAACGCTCTTGTGTTGTTGCCAGAGCGTTGTTGCTCTGGCTGTTATTTTCGGATTCTCCTAGGCTAAAGTCTTTTGCCGCTAATATCTGTCTTTCAAGACAGTTGGTGTTGTAGTTTTTTACTTTTGTACTATTGCACTTTTAAATATGACGGCTGCCAAAAATAAACTGGCACAAGGCCTACAGTCTGGTACAACTTATAAATCGTTAGCAAGTTACGCAGACAAAAGCCAGACCATTCAAAAAGTACAAACATCCAGTTAATGCATTTGCATTAGCTGCCAGGCAACTAGCAGGCCTACAGTAGGGTTGCAAAAAATACTTGCTACCTTATGGTGGTTAAAATGTCCCTGCTGTACTTCTAGTGCTTTCTGAAGCAATGTGCTTCCCTCAGCTGTTTATTATATTTACTGTCTGATATTAAAATTTATTTTCTAAGCTGAAATATTTAAATGTGACAATAAAAATCAAAACAGAACAAATTTGTAAGGGAGGAAATGCATTTTGAGAGCTACATTTCAATAAAGCTCTGGGTTGGAGACGACTTTGATAAGATCTATTGTAAAGTCAGAGCTGCAGTGGAAGTGCTGTCAGAGCTGAACTTTGGTCCGGATAAACCTATATATAAAAGAAAACAAAACCCAAAGTCCTTCACAGCGACCATGTCCAATTTAAAAAGACTTGTTTTGTTTCCTGAGAGGAGATGAAATCTTTACTGACTCGTGTGTTTGAATCCCTGTCTAACAAAGACCTCGGAATGCAACGAGTTTAAAAATCATCTGCTCGTGTGGAAACCTGCCAGGATTCACTTTGGTTGATGGTTTCTGGGTTCACATCTTGACTTGGAGACAACTCCACTATCCTGACGCACATAACCACATCCAGATGAAGGCTGGGCTTTAGTGACGCTATAAAAACCACGTTTTACTTCCACTAAAAACAGAACCATTTTTATTAGCCCATGACAAAGCCCACCCATAGAGAGAGGATGAAAAAAAAAATCTGTTGTTCTCCCTCAATGGAGAAGCAAATCCAAGACTCGAAAGCTGACTCAGTAGTTATTAAAAATAATATTCAGGCATATAGGAGCTGGCAACATTTTACCTGAACTCATGGGTTCTTCTGACACCGGCTATGCCTCGCTTCCATGGGTTCACACTTAAGGCTGAATTTACCAGTCCGGAGGGAAGGTCTGGCAGTTTGAAAGAAAGATTATTCAGGGACAAATTGCATTCCATATCCTTCTTGCATGTATGCTCCTGTCAAACAAATGAGGAGTATCTTTCTGGGTTGTTAAATTCTCATGGAGTCTCATGGCTCTAGTTATTTCGGAGAAACAAATGTACTGGGACTCCTTATGCTTAGTTGAGGGGAATTACAGTGATCCTCCAGATTTTAGGTAGAAACTCCAGTTTTGTGTCTCCATTCCTGATCTTCCTTGTCATGCTACAAGCACAAACTTACGTAGAAGGAGTAGAGTATTATTGTTCTGGGCCACTCTCTGCTTTCCCGTAAGGGCTCATGACAGTCGTCCAGCGCTGAAGACTGTGAACTATTTATCTGTTTTTTTCTACACGTTGTTGCTACTTGACTTTAACAAATTGGACTGATGATTTTAACTCTGTTTTCTTGGTTATTTGGGATGATCCTTCCCAAAAAGAAAAAGAATCCACGTGGAGCGTAACAATTAACATTAGGTGCACACACACACACACACACACACACACACACACACACACACACACACACACACACACACCTACACACACACACACACACACACACACACACACACACACACACACGCTCTGCTTTTCAAACCATTCTTCTTGAACAAGAGAAGATGGTTGTGTGTGGACACACAAAGCTGATCAGCAATTTCTGAAATTCCCAGACTGGCCCAATTTGTTCCACAACCATGTCACTTTGAAACTCACCACCACAGTGATTCACCGTGGGGATGCTGTGTACATGGTGATGTGCAATTTTCTTTCTCCGTCACACATAGAATTTACAAACAAGCCAAAAGGTTTTGTTTACCTCCTTTCTCACCAGATCATTGTTCATGCTTGTGGTCCTCCTCCCAACATGTCCCAAGGCATTCAACTTGAGCTCCAAACGGTGTCTTTCGTGGCTTTCTTCAAAAAATAGCTTTCTTGTTACCACATGTATATAAAGACCATATTTGTCCTGTCAACACATTCTCCCACTTGCAGTGTGGATTCCTGACACTCCTCCAGAGTAACTATTAGTTGGTGTGGTAATGCTCTCCATGACCGCTTAGAGGACATGTCTTTGTAAGTCAGTAGTTGTACTCTTTCTGTTGTAGGATAATGGTTTGAACTGTGAAGCTTAAAATATTATTTTATTATCTACCTCTGCGTTAAACTTCTCCATAGTTCTATCCCTGACCTGTTGGGTGTGTTCCTGGGTCTTAACGATGCTGTTTGTTTTGTAAGGATCTCTAACAGAACAGCTCTATTTACACTAAGATGGAATTACTCACACAGTGGTGCCAATTGAGTTCCTTTCATTTCCACCTAATACCCAATAAATCAACAAATTCTGGGAATGAACCCAGAATTTGAGATCTTTCTTTATGGAGTTTGAACATTCCCCCTTCAGACCCCAATGGCCATGCAAGGATAAGCAGATATACAGAGAGATAGATGATAGGAATGTGTTGCTTTTCAACACAGGCTCTAACAGATTTTTATGTATTTTACTGTAGCTGAAAGCAGCACATCAAACTGTTAAACGTTGTGCTCTTAAATGACTCCTTGGAATCAAGAAGGATGGTTTTAAATGTTTATGTTTCAAATGAAAAGAGTAAATATCATATCACATTTTCCAACCATAACTGCTGCACATGATTGGTCATTCATTTAAACTGTGGTGGGACTAATGTTTCTTTGTGGCTGATTAGCTGTAAATGAGGACAGCAGTGATGATGGTGTGTGATTATACTCTTCGACATCATGGGGCCTAGAGCTGGATTTGTATTTGTAGAGGAAAATAACAACTGTACAGCATGAATCATCATTTCCAACCACAACTACCACACGATTGCTCGTGGCTTTATGCTGTGATAGCTTCATGCTGGAGAGATTTTTCTTAGAATCCATTCAAATGCTCAGTAGATATTTCAAACTAGATATTTCATTTGAGCTGTTTCTTGCTCCTGTGTAGCTGCTCACTGTGCTGGACACATTTATTGGCACCCAAGGTAAATATATGTAAACATACTTTTACCTTTTGTAAATGTATTTTAGTTGCATAATATCATCTTTAAAAAAAAAGGATATTGCTGTGATTTACTTGATCGATTAATACTAATTTCAAGAAGCCTCCACTTATGACTTTCTAGTTTTGCCTGGGTATCAGTATGTTGTGATGCAGATGGCAGTTTGCTCTAACTTCAGGCCCCTGGACTGGATGAGTTCCCACATTTATTTTCCACAGTGCAAAATCAAAATGATGGCAAGACTGCCGACAACATGGCAGCTGACCGGTTGGGAGTTACGTCAGAAAAAAAGTGTTACTTTGTCCTTCTGTCATAAACATAAATGTGTGGAGTTTACCAAACTCTGCAAAGTCTTTAACTGGAACCGTCTGCTTTAGTCAGAATAGACAGAGATTTAACTTTGACATCCTGGCATCCTGGTCTGCCATAAAATTTATTTGCATGTAGAAAAACACATTCACACCACATTAAACACCAGAGAGACTGTATATGAATGTGGTATTTGCTGTAGCAATAAAAGACTAATTTATTTTAGGACTTTTTACTCATCTTTACCAGACATGCAATTAAATGTGGCTGGCCAGCAATGTAAAAGGACCTTGCTGTGTTTTACCTCGTGCTTCATTCATCGGGCAAACTAAAGAGCCGTTTCATTTGCGCAGATCTGTAGAAAGAGGTCATAAAACGTGGCCGTCGCTCGCTGTGTCAAAACTGTTATGTTTAACGATGTGATCCTGTCTTTATTCAGCTCCACGTTGTGCCACAATATACTATAACACAGAAGTGTTCAGCTGTTCAACACCTCTCTCTATTTCCATCGTTTACTATTTCCTTTGTGAAAGCGGGCACTTCATGTTTGCTTTGGCTGAAAATAGAGAGTAATGCTGAGAGAGGGAGAAAGCCAGCTTCTCCTTTTCAGCTTCCCTCGTTTGGCTCGGATCACCTTTTCCTGCCTCCATCTCTCCTTCACTCTACCTCTCGCCACCTGTTTATGGTCTCGTTGCTGTATGCCTGTTCTGCCACATGTCTGCTGCAGATTTATCGCAGCTTAAGAACAGCAAAATCCGCTGAGATGGCCAAAAATTGTGTGAGTTATGATACACGTCCTGTAAATTTGTTTGTCTCATTTGTCGGTTGAGTTGGGTTTTCCACCTCGCGGCCATGTGACAAGCGCAGAATCCAGTCTGTGTTGGAGGAGCTGTTGTCTAAAATGTATTTATTTATTTTTCTTGCTATTGTGGGAATACAGCTTCAGTCCTAACGGGGAAGCATGGTTGTTTTATTAAGCAGATGAAAAATTCAGATAAAAGGCTACAGCAGTCTGCTTGTTTGAGTGAATGGTGGCTTACTGAAACACATTTTGGTTCTTTGACCACCTGTTTACACAGTTTGCTGGTTTTTCTCCTGATTATGGAGTGCTGATGTTAACTGTTTTGTTTTTACTACACCCAGCTTTCCTGTAATTTGCTACAATTGATGTGGCACATAAAACTCACACCCTAAAGTGGAGGGAAAATAAGGCACTCGTTCGCACATCCTGTAAATTCTAAATTATAGCATGGCATGGTTTTGTGTTTCACTTTTATGACCTTTCTCCTGTAATAACTATCACTTAACCCTTCCTTGTCCTCCCCCTCTCTGCTCCATAGAGCCTTGGGTGCGATGAGTATCTTGGATCTGGGAAGGTGGTTGACAAGTGCGGCATGTGCGGAGGTGACAACTCGACCTGCAGGCTGGTCTCCGGAGTGTTCAAACACAGCTTGTCCAAGATTGGCTACCACAAGATAGTGGAGATCCCAGAGGGAGCCACAAGGATCAACGTGACGGAGATGGTGAAGAGCAGAAACTACCTGGGTGGGCAACAGAAACGGACCTTGATGACGATACAGAAGATTCTCAACTTTGTGGAGTAGTAATAGTGTCTGTGGTTTTGCTTTGCATGTTTACTTTAGTCTGTACACCTGAAAGCTGAGGAGCTAGACTTTCTTATCATCTCTAAAAGTGGTACTGAGCAATTATTTTCATCTGTCTCTGTTGGACTTTAGCTGGTTTTTCATTATTCTTAAGTCCAGTCATTGTATCTTAACACCATATCATCCAGAAGTGGACATGTGGTGGACATAAGAAGGAGTACAGCGGCTAGAATATTTAAACTTTTAGATAGTGCATCATCAGCGGATGAATAGAAGAGCAAACATCAGGTGAAGAATGAACCTTAGAGACATGTTGTGCTTAAATTGATCAACTGTTGGGCAAGCTTTCAGTTTATACTTGTAGACATGACACTGTCTCAACCCTTGAGGTTAGGAGTTTGTGGACTGTACAGACTCCTAACCTCTTAACCTGGTGCAACTACTGGCTTTGCTGCCTTGCAGCAAGAGGTTCCTGGGTTTGAATCTCAGCCTAGGGTCTCTCTGCATGGAGTCCGTCCACCTGGGTTCTCTCAGATTCTCTGTCTTTCTTCAACTGGCTGAAACACGCCTGTCAGGTTGATGGATTCTCTGGATTGCTTGCAGGAATGAAGGCAGGCTTATTTCCTCTATGTGTGTCTGTGTTTCCCTCTGACGGGCAGGTGACCTGACAGCTGGGGATAGCGACGCTGTAAAAGATGAACAATTATAGACAACAGATGGACGGGTTGAATAGAGAAGTTTTGGTTTCTGCTTGTTTTATTTAGAGCAGGGCATATTAAGTCTATACAGGCACATTTTTACAACAGTATAATGGTCCTTGAATATTCGGAGTCTGGTCTACCAACTGAAGATTTAAATCCACTCATTAATTTAACAAGAATGAGTAGCTATACTCAGTATTTTGACAAATACTGTAAGTTGGAAACAGGGCATAGTTAGAGTTCACATTCATTCTAAATGCACGCTTTGTTTCCCTCCAAATAGAGCATTTCATTTTCCACCCTGCTTTACAGTTTCTGGTTGTCGTCTACTTAAGAACTTTTCTTTATTTTACTTCTGGTCATGTGTCGAAAAAAATTAGAAATCTATCTCCTGCACACACTGTTATGACAGCAGTGAAAATAAACCTCATGAGAAGTGATGACACAGACTATTAATCATAAATGTAACATTTTTAAAAATTTAGATGACGTGATGAGTTTTCAAAAGTTGTGGAAAAGCCTGTAGGAAATTTTCACAGAATGAAATGCTTGAGACAAAATGCCACAAGTTCGCAATATTTACACAAACGTTAGCTTAACGAACAAAACTTCATGGCATAATTCAACACAGTCAGCAACAGTTGTTCCTGCTACTACTAAAATTAGAAAGTATGTGGCTACTTACAGTTGCATAGGATTATCCATGAGATTTGTTAGTTTGATTTTGATACAATTTGATTGTGATGTTCTGCTCTCTAAATAGCAACACAAGCTAATATCAGCTGCTTAGTTAGTCAGACTATCTGCTGTGGTAGTAAGGCTTCAGTCTTAACTTCTCTGTAGTTTTAAACAATGTTACCTTAATAACACTGTTTGAACACTGCTGTGTTTTTCATGTATTCAGAAATCAAAGAATGAGGGCTATTGCTGCTTGGTATATACTTCCAAACAGACAAAAAGGTATTTCTTGTAAGAAAAGTGGAACTTGTATAAAAGTGTCTTCAGACAGATGACTCGTAGCTGAAACAAGACGGAGGTCATTCCAGCATTTTGTTTGACATCTCATTTAAAATAAATCTGGAATCATCTACGATGTCCAGGCTTTGTCCTATTTTCTGTTCTCTCTCTCTCTCTGTCTCAGTTTCTCTTGATCAGACTCTGTTTTAGACTGCACATATCCAACAGTGCTTTTAGTTGTCCAAACACTCTTTTACAAGCCAGTCTAATGTTACACTGCTAATGCTTTTCTAATTGCCTCTTGCATGTAATCCACAAAATCAGCAGAAAACATCCAGGGAGAGTTTGTTATAGGATTTGTGTGAAAGATTTTGCGAGCACCAGGAGACTGAAACAGTAGTCAAGAATATTGGTGTTGAAAAACCAAACATTTCCTCAAGCATTTAGCGGCGGTTCAGTTTTGAGGGTGTATGAATGTAGTTTCAGATGCATGTCTTTTGTTTTCTCGTCAGCCAGATTTTGCTATAAGTAATACTCATAGAGAAGTTTTGGGCGTAATTTTTATCGAGAAGGTTGGTTTGAGCTCAGAGTTGTTGTTGGTGATTATATGGTCATTAATTTCTGTGTCTTGCAGCTCTGCGAAGCCGTTCAGGGAGATCCATTATAAATGGAAACTGGGCTATCGACCGACCGGGGAAATATGAGGGTGGAGGTACCATGTTCACCTACCGCAGACCCAATGAGATCAGCAGTAAAGCTGGGGAATCCTTTCTTGCTGAGGGCCCCACCAATGAAATTCTGGATGTTTATGTAAGCAGAAATTACATATTATTAGTAGTATTATTATTATTATTATTTTTTTTTTTTTTAAGTTCTCTTCAATTTTATGGCATGAGTTTGACTTGAGTCAGCAAAAAAGTTGAAAAGCATGACAAAATATTGTGAAGATTTCTTTAGGCTTGTCTTCAAAGTCTCCATCACTTCTCTTTTAGATGATCTTTCAGCAACCAAACCCTGGGGTTCACTACGAGTACATTCTCCCCTCTGAGAAAACCGTCAAGCCTCAGCAACCAACACAAACAGCAGAAGGTGAATTGCAGCTAACTCTGCCGAGAGAGAGAGAGAGAGAGACAGAGAGAGAGAGAGAGAGAGAGAGAGAGAGAGAGAGAACAAGCAGTTAACTGAAAGGTTTAATATAGCACAGCCTAGTTTGATTTTAAATAACTGCTGATAATTAATGACACAAAGATTACAGAAATAGTTATTGATGCTCTTTCCCAGTAATCTACTTATATTAAAGTTCTTAAAAGAAAATGGAATAGGTTTTACGATCAAAAGGTTTAACAAAACAATTAACGTCAGAAATTGGAAATGGCAGTTGATGTTGGTGACGGCTGGTGCAGTCTGGTATTATATCTTCTGTTTCTGTGCCTCCAAAGAATCTGCAAGAGGACAGGATGAGTACACGCAGCAGGAGAACTTCAACTCTGCAGGTGGGGGAAGATATCAGCCACATCTTCCTGACAACCAGGTACCTGCTGTGGTTCCTCCAAGACGTGACAGGGAGTACAACTGGAAACTGACTGGTGCCACAGAATGCAGCGCCTCCTGTGGAAAAGGTTAGAGAGCTCAACTTGGGCATAAGGTTTAATGTGTTGAATTTCAAGCAAACTTCCATCGTGACTATATCATTGGCCAAATTAAATGTTGTGGCCAATGCAGAAATTTTTCTCAGGTTTCAGAAATTCAATCTTCCGCTGCGTCCACCGGCTGAATCACGTCGAGGTGTCGGATGCTTTTTGTGAAAGCAGCAGCCGCCCAGGTCCACAGGAGGAGGCCTGCAACCTGCAGCCCTGCCCAGCATTGTAAGGAGAATCACTTCTGTTCTCATTGGCTAATTTCTGGTAATTACTTCACTTGAAGAACATTGTGTTGAAAACGCAGCTAAAAAGTAAACTCTAGGTAATGATCAAAATTATATCCTGGGAGTCAATGTCACTGTTGGGGTTGAATAGTAATTATTTGCTTTCAGCTTTCGGTATTAAAGTGAAGGAAGTTGACATGCATGTTTTGCTGCTGGGCAACTTTGAGTCCTGTTTTATTTTAGAATTTTGCTTTGATGCAGTGACTGAGCAGCGTTTACTGATGGATGGTGGCGCCACTCAACAGTAAACTATACTCTGTCTCCGCAAAATGATTTGCTATGATAATAATTTGGGGAGTGGTACAGAACCGAGTCCACTCTTTGGTTTGCTATTTCAGAACCTGTGTATCTCGCGACGCCTGTACTTTCCTGTACAGTCGTCGTGAACATTCAGTTTTGCTTTGCATAATCTGAATATAACTTTTACCAGCGAGACGCATCTCTAGAAAAATACATATTTTATGCAGCGTTGCTAACATTAAGCTTTCATTGGATTAGTTGGGATATCGGAGAGTGGTCGGAGTGCAGCAAGACCTGCGGACTGGGCATGCAGCACCGGCAGGTTCTGTGCCGCCAAGTTTATGCCAACCGCACCCTCAACGTCCACATGAGCCGCTGCCAACACCTGGAGCGACCCGAAACGGCCAGTACCTGCCAGCTCAAGATCTGCAGTGAGTGGCAGATCCGCTCTGAGTGGACATCTGTGAGTGGAAACAGCCGGGTGGAATGACTCAAACGTGAATTATTCACCCGCTGACTTTAAGCTTTGAAAAATTATTCCTGCAAAGAAGATCATTTTTCATTAGTTGTGTTTTTACATTGCCACCTTGTTAGTTTATTCCTAGGTTTAGCGAATGAAACTCGTTACAACAATGAAGAGGCAACAGTCCCTGTGGTAACCAAGCAGTGTGTGTCTCCATAGTGTTCGGTGCCGTGCGGGGTGGGTCAGAGGTCAAGAGAGGTGCGCTGTGTCAGCAACGTGGGTGACTTCGTTCCTGATGAGGAGTGCAACATGAACCTGCGACCCACCAACGTAGAGAACTGTGACATGGGAGCCTGTGCCAAGAGCTGGTTTTACACCGAGTGGGGAAACAGGGTAGGAGAAGAAATAATTAGATGCTATAGAGTTTTTTTTTTTTTTCCACTTTTATGAACATACTGTATAACAGCATCCAGGCTTACCAACTATTACAAAATGTTCAGTCTGATATTTTTATATATATATTTTTTTAAGACTTTGGCTTTTTAATTTTGCTCGCCATACCAACAAACGTTTTCATGTTTGAAATGACGAAATACATTAAAAAAAAAGGCATGAAAGAAAAACATCTGTACAAGGCAGCCGAAAGTCTGCATCTTCAGCTTCAGTTTATGAAATAGAAATTAGTCATTTACTCAGAGAGGAGCAGGAATTTGGGGAAATGCTTTCCAAAATCAGAAGCTTTCTGACCTTATAAACGTGCACCCTACGGAGTAGTGAAGTAAAGTTCTGCATTCAGTACTGGCAGACATTAGAGATATTCTGGTCATCACTGCTTCCTGCAATGCGTTTCACATTAATGAGATTTTACAGTAAAATTTTCCAACATTTATTTTTTTTGTTGAATCTTAATAAATAAATAAAAAAGCATTAGGCAGCCATGCAGATATTGCCCCGTCTCTCTTTTTGTTTTCTATAACATCAAGCCATGTTTTATGCTTGATGCTTTATCTGCACAACAATAATGTAATGGTCAAAACATTGCTCAAAGGACACTGTCTGTATCACCACTCAATCTCTGGAAGTAGATCTGAAATTTCATTTCTTGCATGCTGCTTGCAAGCAGTGAAAGAACATGACACACTCGTCCTCCTTCAGTTGGCTCCTGCATAAAGGAACAAATTGTAGGACAAACATTAAGAGAAAGTGGCTTTAGTTTTACCTAATAAAACAATCTGTTACAGCAGCAGATGACTTATCCGGATAGAGGATCATAAAAAGAAAAAGTAATGGCAATAGAATGTATTTTACTAAACTAAGCTACTTTATGAACTTCATGTTCACACCATAGTTGGTCGATCAGTCAATAAAGTTTATTTGTATAGCACATCTCAGCAACAAGCCAGTTCAAAGTGCTTTACATCATGGAAACACAAAGACATATAACACACAGTCGACAATTGAAGAATTGCATTTTGTCAAGTGCCATTATTGCACATCAGAATATTGATTAATGTTTCATTTCTGATGTTTCAAAAGCAACTCTAAGGTTTTAAATCAGTCTAGATTTAAAGGCACTCAGTGGTATCTCCTTTAGCCATGTTATAAAATGTGTTACTTCTCAACTTTGAGTAAGAAATACAACTTTGAATGCCTTATTGGCAGAATAAGAAGCGCTTGCAACACGGTTTGTTTCTTTGACTATATTTGACTCCTGCTATGGTTAGAAATGTTCACACTCTTCATATAATTGTATTATTTATATTTAAGCATTTATACACTTCTTCACCCTAAACTAAGAAGAAAAAATGTTTTTTATGACAAACCTGCTGATTTTACTACCCCACATTAATTACAATGCTTTTTCCCTGAAGTGCTCTGCTGAATGCGGGATGGGTGTCCGAACCCGCAGCATTCTTTGCCTGACCAACCACATCAGCAGCCTCCCTCTAGAGGGGTGTGGCAGCGAGCGGCCTGCAGACTCCCAGGTCTGTAACAACGGTCCCTGTGACAATCGAATCGAGTGGTTCACAGGTCCTTGGAGCCAGGTACAAAGAAAGGCAAAAGGCTTTTAGCATGTTTTGTGTTTTTCTTCTGTCTGTTTTGCATTTCTTTATTTAAAATATTGTATTCTGGATTTTTTTTTTAAACCAGTGCTCTGCAGAATGTGGCTCAGGCAGTCAGCAGAGGTCAGTGGTTTGCCTGATAAAGTCTGATGAAGGATTTACCGTCATGCCACCCTATGAATGCTCATCCTTGGACCGACCACTCAGTCAGCAGAGCTGCAACATTAAGACCTGTGGGGCGAAGTGGTACCACACTGACTGGAGTGCAGTGAGTTGCAACAAATATATATATATATATATATTATTTTTTTTTTTCCTTCAGATTTTACTCTAATTTTTTGTAAAGGGTTTTTTTCTATTATTACTTCTTTCTTTCTTTTTTTTGCAACTGTGTGCTTTATTTACTTATTCCTGTTGCTGCTCTACACTAGGAATTTCACCTCTGAAATACAATTAATTAAAGGATTCTTGAATTTAGTCCAGCCGCTCAAAATCAGTTCATGGGCCATAAATGGCCGCCGGGCCACACTTTGGACACCCCTGCTGTAAAGTGATCCAGTGTAATGCGTATTTTATGCATACAGAATTTATCCCAGCGGTATAAACTGCCCGTAAATATTTTGTCGAAACAGTTCTCACTCAGTCCGCTGATTCATGCCCTTCCCAGTGTTCAAAAACGTGCGAAGGAGGTTTCCGCGTTCGGGAGGTGCGCTGTCTGTCAGACGACATGCTGTCCTCTGAGGCCTGTGATGACCAGCTGAGACCGGCGGACAGGGAGGACTGCAGCCCTGAGCCCTGCATACCTCAGATAGGTCAGCCAACTTTTACTACATTGTCTGGAATACCACTGACAAGGGGATCAGTATCTCCTGATGATTTCAGCATCCTCCTGAACATATGTTCACTTGTAGTGTCTGCAATGTCGAACTTGTTCCAGGGAAATTCATTTTCATTTGTTTTGAAAAAAAAAAAAAGAAAGATCTCGATGTGGAAGTTACCCTGATAACTAGTGATTTTTGTTTTCGTTTGCTTCAGACCTGAACTGCAGAGACAAGTACTACAACTGCAACGTGGTGGTCCAGGCTCGCCTCTGTGTTTACGATTATTACAAAACGGCATGCTGTGCATCTTGTTCACGCATCGCACACAAACAGAAAGCACACCGAGGTCACAGCTAGCACCGACTTCCCGAGGATCCTAATTCACACCCACTAAAGGTTCTCTGACCCCGAGCCTGCCTGGACAGACGGACGGACAGGACCTTTTCCAGAAAGGACCCTCATTAATATTAAGAGGGATGAAAACCCGAGAAGGACCATTTGTGTTGGATCTTTTACGGGTTGCTGTTGGGGAACAAAAAAAAAAACAGAGGCCATAAATCATGTGACATGAATCTAGGTGCTGGAAATAAGGAACGTTGTCCGGATCAACGAGAGCCACAACAAACAGAGGAATCAGAAAAAAAAAAACTTGTCGGGTTCTTGTTCTTCAGTTTGAGATGAAGCGTTCACAGCTGGCTCTTGTGCATCACTTTGTCCAGCGGAGACTGCCAGTGAACCCTCTGCGGAGGATATATTCTAACAAAGTGGAAAATGTCCAGCATATAATAAGCGGTTTCACATCCAGCCTCACTAACATCGGCTCATTAAACTGAGCTCAGCACAAAAACATTCCTTTCATCAACAAATTCTGTGCATTAAACCCTCCATGGGGCTAACGACGTGTCCGGTCCTACGCTGCCCTGAGATGAAACAGCAGCTTATGTAATATAATTATCTGTATATATGATTGTGTATGACAACGTCTGATAAATGCTTTGTTTTTTGAATGATTCTCTGACCCTCCCACATAACCTAAAAGGAGGGGGAGTCTTCTTTATTTATGTATGTGACTCTCCAGGGTGGATGCTACTTTATCGGCCACTGGTGGCTTCTTCTTTTCAGCTGTTCTGCCTCTAAGCCAATCGCAGCCTCTGAACTGGACGTGGGCGTCTCTCAGCCTGCTGGATGGCAGAACCAGATGCTCCAAACACTGCTGATTTTTGACAAGTTGAAAACATGACATTGTTTCTTCTTCCCTGTGGGTCATGATCACTCCACAACCAAACAATCCTTGACAATGTACACACAACTTTTAAAATAATTTTAATGCTTTATTGATATAGCTGCATTGTACAGATGGCTTGATTTAATATGTCTGTGGTTCATAAATTCCTGTTTATAATTTAGCCCTTTTTACCGTAACAATGTTGTTTATAAACGTTCTCATGTAGTACCTCACAAGTGTTGAGCATTGTTATTACTAATCCCCTCTCAATTTACCTTTAGCTACTGATTAGAGGTATTTCAATAGTTGAGATTATAATTAAGACGTTACACACAATTTCAGACCTTCATTTCTGGTAATGAGACCCAAAAAAGGTTTGTCTGCATTTTGGATTTTCTCCAGCTTAACAACACTCCAGTTATTCTCTACTGGGTTTTGGTCAGGCTGGTTTGCTGGCCAGTCTAGGACAGTAATACTGTTATTAAACCACATATCTGCACTTTTGTCAGTGTGGATAAGTGCCAAGTCTGGCTAGAAGAGGAAATGAACATTTCCCTTAAAGTTGTTGAGAAAATACTGAACAGCTGCACTGACTTCGGACTCGGTCAAACACCGTGGACCATCACCAGTGAACTCCAGACACGACTCTTTAAATCTTCATTAACTTTGCGCTGAACCCTAATCAACATGTATTCTGTGCATCTCCACTTTTCCTCTAATCTCTGAGAGCAAGATTTCTAATTGAAATGCTAAGATTGTATTAATCTGAAAAGATTATACCTTGAGCTTCTTATGTATGTGGTTCTGGATGGGTTAAAGCAAAGAATGCAGCAGCTGTAGTTTATGTCCTGGATATGGTTATGTGTGGTGGATCATGAAGCTGCAGGCCACACTTTGTAAATCAGTCCCAACTCTTGAATAATCTTTGTTAATCCAGCCTAGATGAACTAATTTTATCTCTAAAATAAACCAGGGGAGGATGCAAATTGTTCATTGATCCTCACCTTTGGCCTGTTCTCCGTCCCACCAAAGGAGAAGCTTGTGTATATGCATCTGTGTGAATCACAGCGGAAACAAAACAGAATGGTTTCAGATTCAACATGCCATCAATAGATTTGGTTAGTTACCATAAAATCTCAAATATATGAATTCATTCTACCATTTGTTGTTTTTTGGGGGAAAAGTCAAGTAAATGTGAAAAGAAAATGCAATCTGTATTCTCATCCTTTTTTTGTTTACCTTTGTGGATGTAATTTAAATAGACTGTTTAAAAAGATGAGAGGTATATGTGGTTTTGGTATATGTGGTTTTGCACTCGTAGACCTTTTCTAAGAAAATTGCCTGTTTCCGATGGTGGTTGTTGGTGGAGTTCACATTTTTGGTGAAGATTTCCCTCATTTTCTACAAACAGACTCTGTGAATCAGTCTAGTGGCGGCTTGTTGCTGCCCCACACAGGTCAGAGGTTCAAACTGAGCGCTCATCCCCTGTTTAAATTACAAATTGTGGCATGTGGGCTGTTAAATTTATTCACCATTTTATAGTTTGACCTGTGTTTAACCATTGGCTGGTGCAATTTTCTAGTCAATATGTGCCGTCATCTGAAAGCAATTTTTCCTTCTGAAACATGCTGTTCTGCTTTCATAACTACAGCTTTTTTTTTTCTCAAAATCATGCTAAACGTCGATAGCTTAAAAAATTTAAATCTCTAGGATTTGACACAGTAGAACTTTTAGTAGTTAACTGGGACATTTATCTAGGCAAGTGAAAGATTTAGATAAATATGTAGAAATGCTTCACACATCCATGAAGCTACAGGTTGGTTTGTCTTCAAAATATTTTTTTCCTAGAGTTGCAGGTCACTTACCATGTAATCCTCAACAAATCTGTCGAGTCAGTGGGAGTTTGGAGTTTGTTATCAATCAAAGAGGAAATTATATTAAATCATTTCTGTTTTTCATTGAAAGCAAATACTTAACTGTATTACTTTAGAGCCATCTAGTGGAGAAAGTTTGCGCCAACATGCAGGACTCCTCATTTACCTTCTGTGTGAGCAATGCTCCGACCTAACATGTTTCATATTTTCGTGAAGATTTGAATACTTTTTTTTTAATGTAGCTAATCAGAAGGTGCAGAATAATGAACTGAAGTTCTTTACCCACTGAACTCATTTTTAAAATTTTAATGACTGCATGTTGAATGATAAATGTTGATAGCATATAATGTCAAACTCTACTGGAATTCATTCTTAGTTTTGACCAGAAAATACGTTCTCCGTTGTTTCATTTTGTAGCAAGAAAATATTTTAATTCAGGTCCATTTTCATGCCAAGGTCTGTCTTTTGATGGTGGAATGTTTAAATGGACAAACATGATCAGAAGCTTTTGTTTTCAGTTTTGGTAAACTTTCCTAACTATTTTAAATATATTCTTATGTACTGTTTTTTTTTTTTCTCTCTCTCTCTCTCTCTTACAGTCTTGATCGAGAGCCTCACTTACTTTTGGTTGCATGCTGTACAATAGCAAACGCCCAAATGGGTCGAAAAGTTTACATATTTTTTAATAACTTTTTTACAAATAGAAATCTGTAAATTTGCTCCTCTTACTAGTCTTTTGAGGTTTGTCTCTATCAGCTTTCCATTACTAGAAACTGAGTTTTTGTCGACTGTTCCTTNCAAAATAGCTCAAATTCAGTCAGACTGGTTGGAGAGGGTTTGTGAAAAGTTGTGGTATTCCCACGCATGCATTTGTTCTTAATCTCAAATATTTGTCTTTTGTCTTTTGCAGCTTTTAATGGGTATCTTTCAGTATTTGGTGATATTTAGCGTCATCCAAAGAACTGTAAATTCTGAAAAGCTTCCATGTGTCTGATGAAGAATAGCATTTCAACAGCATGATGTTGGAGTGCCTCTAAAGTGCTACTTTTGTTTGTTTTTTTTATTTAAGGATCCCCATTAGTTTCTTCCCAGGATGCATGCCTCAAATATTGCAATACCATCATGCTTTTTAGAAAAAAAGACAATAAAATACCTTTTTATAAGATGCTTTTTAATCTGTAATTAATGTATTTACAGAAGCCAACATGTTCCAGTAATAAAATGCTCTATACACAGCTGTTTTTTTAGAGTGTTGGCTTGAGACAGAATTAATATAAAAGTAACAATAGAGGCTTGTCTAGTCTTAACATGTCTATTGTAGGTGGGTGTCTTTTTCTGTATGTAGATTAAAATAATACTTTCTACTCAAACTGCAAGCAGGACTTCCTTTAGCCTTCTTTCAAAAAACAGTTTTCCTCTTGCCACTCGTGCTGCACACAAACCAAAATGGATTCCTGAATGTGGAAAAGAGTAGCTGCATGAAACACAGCACACAATTTCCAGTGTTTCTGATAAAATAAAATAAAAATCTTCTGTGTTCTAAACAATTACTCAGAACTAACCAAAAATGAAAAGTTGATCTGCAGAATGTCGGCGAAACCGAGATGATGCACAGTTTTATCTGTGAGTCTCTGTAACTTCATCAGTGCTGCAGCTGGCAGTGTACAAAGCCCTTTGAGGATACAATTTACTGTCCCATCCAAGTAGCATGGCTTCCAGGCAGGTTTGGAACAAAAAGGAACGGATTTCCACATCCAGACTTGGTCAGTCCAAAAGCCGGGTGGAAGAAAGACACTAGCACCAAAGTAAGAATAAGACACTCTGTAACACACAGCAGAGAAACAGAAGATGGATGTAATCTAAGATTCAGCAGTAGTCAAAAAACTATAACAAGAAGAAAAAGGGCAATAATCTCACTGCTGGTTTTGGAATTGCATCTTTATAAAGACAACCACAGACAGCCACATGGCTGAATAGAAGATGAGCGTCTGTGCAGAACTGCAGCCTCTGTTCTCCTTTCAGCAACACTAACTTTGGGACTAAATCGTCTCAGTTCTCAGTAAAAAGGCAGCTAACACCTTCAGGGTGTCATTACCCAGTCGGTAGACGGGCCTGAAATGACACCAGGATGGAATATCTCAGGAGAATCGGAGTGAAACTGCAACAAAAGTGCTTAAAGAATTAAGAAAAATCGCTACTATTTTCACTATTATTTTCCTTACGATGAAAATTTGCCGTAAGACCTAAATTTCCCCACTGTGGGATGGTAAAAAATATTTCTAGTCTCATCTATCCTGCTTCATGTTTGGACAATTATATTCTCTGTTTTTGGACACAGCCTAAATGTTTCTTGTTTTCCAGCTAAAATCACAAAAATGATTCCGGCTCACTAAATAATAGAAGAATGAGGGACAGTGCTTGTACACACTCAGGTTGCTGCACCTTTAAAAATGTAAGAAAGCCGATAATATGCTGCTATGGTTCTGATGGGTTAATCAAAACATTTTAATTTCCCTCCCAATCTATCTATGAGATTTAAAGGAAGTCAGTGTTTCAGCTGTTTTTCAGTTTTCTGGAAGTTTGTTCCAAATTTGTGGTGCATAGAAACTGAATGCTGCTTCTCCCAGTTTGGTTCTGATTCTGGGGATGCAGAGCAGAACCAGAACCAGAAGACCTGAAGGGTAATAAACAGTCATCTTATAATTGCATTACCCTCAGAGTTGCTTGTCATGGCTGCTGCTGACTATTTCTTTTATTTATTGACTCAAATGCATTTTAACCTCTGAACAAAACCAAGAGCTTGTCAGTGACATTTGATTTTATGTTTTATTTCCATGTCTTTCCTCTTTGAAGAAATGTGAAGCCTTTCTTGGTTAATTTGGTGATAGACATTTTGTCTTCCTGTTTTTTAGAAGACAAAGTTCTTAGTGACATTTGATCCATGATGTAACAACATGTAAGTTTACGATATAGCCCAATAAGTAACCTCTACGAATGCCAAAATGTGACATTTTCCTTAAAGAACATTTATTTAGCCAAGAGGAATACACATTTGTGAAAAATATGTCAATTGAAATCAAACGCTGTCATTCTTTTGAATTGAAACGTCGTCTTCTAAACAGGGAAACCTCAGTCCAGGCTTATTAATGCTCCCATCCCTCTGAATGTAAGCAAACCTTTGCTTTTTTTGTTCTTCAGCTTAAAAAATTGTTCACATGCTCCATCCAGTGCAGACAAAACATCATTTCACAGCATTTAGATCTGGAGTGTGTGTATCCAAACCAAACCAACAATTAAATCAAATTAAATCCCAAAGTGGTTTTACGCTTGTAGGAGTTTAGAGCCTCTAAGATGAAAACTGCTCTTGGTTTTCACCTCGACTTCACATCCGCAACCTTTAGGGATTACAAGGTTTGCAGCAGAACAACCAGCATGTTTAATGAGCCTTGAATTAGCAGGGCACTGTGACCTTTGCCCTCCCATTCAAAGTGGAAAGGGAATCTGAAAGCTAATGATCTGCAGCCTCGTATGTTTATATTTCATTTTCAGGCTCTTGGTTTAATCTTCAGGTTTTTTGTTTTGTTTTGTTTTTTTGACACTTTTCCAGAGGGCAACATGCTGAGATGACTTTATTTGAAGGCTCATTTTTGATGGACTTAAAAGAAAAGTAAAAATATATTCATGCAATTATATGAGATATAAAGATGCATCTCGATAAACTAGAATATGATCAAAATGTTCCTTCACAGTAATTTAATTTGAACTGAAAATCACATTTATGGACTCATTACATCCAGAGCAACATACATGACAAGCAATTATTTTTGGTGATTTTAATGAGGATGCTTCCTTTCCATTACGCTTGATTGCAGCACTTTGAATAATCGGCTTCTTTAACAGAGACTTTTTGTGGATTATACTAGCACTGGACAATCGCCAGGTCAGCTCTCCCTAATTGTTGTGTTTACCATTGTATGGACATAGTTGCTGTCGTTTTGTTAATTATTCAGTATTTTCAGAAGAGTGGCACACACGGGTGGATCGCAATAATTTATAATATCGAAAAGTTTGTTTATTTCTGGAATTCAAATAGAAAGTGAAGATCATTGATGGATTGCACACATTGTCAATTTTTAAGAATATAAATGGTATTTTAGGTTTTTCATATAAAGTCATGTATGTTTGAGAATGAGGAGGAGAATGAGATACAATCTCATGGAAGTAGATTTAACTTCTTGTTAATTAACACTTTCTACAGCCTCCATGGTTTCTAGTCAGCGTGAATAAAGCTTGCAGTAGTGCAATAACACGGTTGCATTTCCTGGTTTAATAATGTGCCTATTTATAAATCTAACACCCTTGCCAAAGTGTAAAACTGAATAATAAAAAATAAAAAATAACCCAGATAAATCTCGATTTGTCACCGGGATATGGGTAATGTATGAAAATGAGTGCAAAGTTGTTTGCCAGATAAACCTACAAAAATGACCAGTGTTTTTCTACCTACCATGTGTTTATCTATCGTAGTCTGAAAATGTTATTCCTTATTAGCATGAGTTCAGTGGATTTGTATAAGAGCTGTAGAGCCGTTAACCCAGCCGTGATTCTCCTCTGGGAAACTGCTAACAACACGCCACAAATTCCCTGAACACACAGCAGAGAGCGGCTTAAAACTGTGTATATTTTCAGAATAAATGGTGAAGCGAGGCAAATGATGCCGTAGGTGGGACATTTAATATAAGTTTGATATGAAAGACTGCCAAACTTGTAAGTGGTCGAGTCCCTTGAGAACAGTTCACAAGTGCTTTAATGCATAAATCGCTGATATGATGAGCAACAGTCATTTTGTAGGATCAAACACGGTCCTCACTTTCAGTCAAAGTGTGTCCCTAAAGATTTTACATAATTTTTTTTCTGAATACAGGCATTGCACGAATTTATAGGACCATGCAGCTTAATGTCTATAACTCACACAATTCACATAATTCACCCATAATGTGATAAAATTGTCCACTTGCTTGTTGAAAATTATACAGTTTAACTCTCTATGGGTTTGGTCCATTGTGGGTTTGTTCATTTGTTAGATGTTCTGGTGAATAAGTGTGTGGAGAAAAGCGGTTAGAGTCCAGCTTTTCTTCTGAGACTCAGTCTTAAGATCCAAAGATCATAAAAATAAACACCACAGCTTCCCCTCATTTAGAAAACTCAACTCAGTTCAACTGAGTTTATTAATGTAGCAAATGACAGTAAATGTCATTTCAGGCCCTTTTAAAACAGGCAGGTACAGTTAATTTCAGAAATATATAATCAAATAAATCTACATCTACACAACCATATAAAAAAGTAAAAAATTATATTAAACACATTTGAATTTGATGATAGTTATAAAACCATGCAGTGAAATTCTGTTTATAATGCAGGTTGGAAGAAAGTTATTGTCAAAGTCAGTGACTTTCCAGCAACAGCCTGAAAAAGCACATGGTGAAGGTGGGCAAGTAAAGCAACTTAGTTTTTTTAAATTTGCAGCAATCCTGTTTCTGACTAAAAGTGTGTCAGCAGTGGATAGTTGATCCGTGGTGATAATAAGGTCACGGCAATATTTCCTCCTAAGCAAGCGCTTGGTAAGATTAGCTGGTTGATTGCATCCAATCATTGACTCCACAGTAATCCCTCCTCCTGAGCTCACATGTGGTGACAGTGGATGCCTGACTGCATTGAGCCATTAACTTTGCGGCAATTGCTCCTCCTAACCAATCATTAGGCAACATTAGACAGTTGAGTCAATAATTTTCCCTGCAATCACTTCTTCTCAGTAAGCGATGACAATGAATGGTTTATTGCATCCAGTCGCTGACTTTGCAAGAATCCTACGGAGCCCCTAAGGTACGGAGCCCCTAAGGGGACATGGAGAAAAAAAAAAAAGGAAAGAAATCCCGACTTATTATCGCGAGATCCCGAGAAACTAAGCCGGGATCTCGAGATCCCGACTTATTATCGCGAGATCCCGACTTATTATCGCGAGATCCCGACTTATTATCTCGAGATCCCGACTTATTATCGCGAGATCCCGAGAAAATAAGTCGGGATCTCGAGATCCCGACTTATTATCGCGAGATCCCGACTTATTATCGCGAGATCCCGACTTATTATCTCGAGAGTCCGACTTATTATCCCGTCTTATTGTCTTGAGCTCCAGACATATT